TGGGCACCTCCCAAAACATCGTTTTGTGCCACTCCCAACAGAAATACTCCAGGTGGACACCTTCAGCAATCAGGAGCTCCTCAGTTGCTCATAGCAAATCCCACCTTGGAGTTTACAAAGACTTATGGGTAGAAAAGCCACACAAAGTAATTTACTACACTGCAGCAGTGGGTAATGGTGAGGGTTGTACAACATGGTGAATATAATAAATGTCACTGAATTATACACATAAAAAAGATTGAAAGGGCAAATATTTTCATGTTTATCTTTTACTATAAATTTTATCTTAAAAAAGATACTGCTAACAATTTGATTATTGAATACTCTTTAAGGTTTCTTTTATGCGGTTTTTATTTTTTCTGGAATTTCATTAATTTTGTTCTTGTTGAGAATATACACAGCAAAGCATACACCAATTCCACAGTTTCTACACATACAATTTAGTGACACTGATTACATTCTTTGAATTGTGCAACCCTCCTTTTCTGAGTTTTTCCTCCTCCATTAACATAAATGCATAGCCCCATACAATTCCTATCTGTCATGTTGCTATTGTCAATTTGATCCCATTTAGATTGTTTTTGACATTAAGCTGATGTCTCATTGGGCATGTACATTCCTTTGTTGTAAAGTAATTTGAAATAATTCTCAGCATTTAACCAATTAGGCATACATGTAGTTAGGTTTCTTTGTTTCATGTTTTTTTCTAATTTTTAGGGCTTTCTCTTTAGATTTTTATTTATGTGGGTTTTTTTTTTTCTACTTTTATTTTGAAAAATTAAAAAAACTACAGCAAAGTTGAAAGAATAGTACAGTGAATGCACATATACCTTTCATCTTAGATTCACAATTGAATAACACATTTGCTTTGTCTCTCATCTGTCTTCTTCCTTCCCTTTCTCTTCCTCCTTCTCTACTACATATGTACTGAGCCATTTGAAGGAAGTTGAAAACATCATGATACTCGTACCCTAAATACTTTAGCATGCTAAGCCCAAGGAAGTCTCTTATATAACCACAATTCCTTTTTCATCCAAGAAAATAATAATTTCTTAATATCTCATATCTAGTTCATATTCAGATTTCCCTAGTTGTTCCAAAAGTTTTTTTTAAAAAACTATGATTCAATTAAGATTCATGTATTGCTTTTGGTATTTGGGCTCTTTCAATATAGAGCAGTCCCCTCCATTTTTTTTCCCCATGACTTAGGCCTTCTGAAGAACCCATGTGAGTTGTCTTATAGCATGTGTGTTACATGTGTTGGTTTCCCTACTCTTTAACTTGCTTTTCCAACCCTTATATTTCTTATAAATGGGAAGTTTGATGTAGTCTAGAGGCTTGATAAATTCAGGTTAAAGTATTTGGCAGTAAGAACACTTCATTGGCTATACTGTGTACTTCACCACACTAGGAGGCATATGTCAGTATGTCCTAGTAGTAGTGATGCTAAGTTTGATCCATTAGTTAAGGTGTTCATTGCCAGCTCTCTCAACTCTAAATGTACATTTTTACTTTCACAATTAGTAAGTAATCATTAGGGTGATTCTTTGGCATTTTGTGAATATCTCCTTCCCCAATAATTTTTTACCCATTTTTGCGTTTTGATTTAATTTTATTTTATAATCACATAACGTTTTCATATGGTTCTAAAACCAAAAATATAGAGCAAGGTACATGAAGACAAGTCTGGCTTTCGTTCTGTCCCCTTCACCTTCCTTGTTCCCTCCCTTCTTCTATAGGTGACTATTTTAATTAGATTTTGGATTATCCTTTTTTTGTTGTTGTTTTTTTAAAATACAAACATATCCATATTCCTGCTACTCCTTTCTTAGATAAAAGATAACATACTATTGTGTACCTTTCATGTTTCACTTAAAAATGTATCCTGGAGACTACACGATAACAGTATATAGAAGTCTTCAGAAGGGCTTTTCGGAAATATAAATCTGTTCACATCCTTTCTGTGCTTGAAACTATTCAATAATACCTCCTCCATCTCCCTCAGGATAAAGTCCAAACCTCTTAACAAGGCTCTTCATAATGTGTCTTTTGCTTGTCTCTCCAGCCTCATCTCTTCCTGTGCCTTCACTGAACACTGTGCACATGCATGGACATACAGAAACACACGATTGCCATATTGAATTGCTTTAAACTTGTTGAATGAACCATGAATAAAACCTCTGACTTTTAAATGTGATGTTCCCTTCTGCCTAGAACACTGTTCCTTCTCTCTGTGCTCACCCATTCATCCTCTGTTGTCGTCATTGTTGTTGTTATGTACTGTTGAGTCGTCTCCAACTCATAACGGCCCCTCCTTGGGTTTCTGAGGCAGTATCACTACGGAAGTAGATTACCCAGTCTTCCTTCCGAGTAGTGGCTAGTGGGTTTGAACTGCCAGCCTTCTGGCTTTGCCACCAGAGCTCCCATTCATCCTATAGGTCTCAGCATAAACATGTTCCTGGAAGCCTTCCCTGGCCCCAGAGTCTAATTAGGGGCCTTTCATGTGTGGTGACCCAAAATTTATCTGCTTATTTTTGTTTTTGCACTCATCATACAAAATTCTGATTACTTGCTTATATGAATTCCTCTACTAGACCCTTGAGCTTTCCTATCACAGGATATGAGGACCCCCAGTGTCTGGCCCTTAGTAGGCATTCAGTAAATATTTATTGACTGAAAGTGGCAGAAAGTCCCAGGCCCAGGCATTCATATGCAATATCCATAGATATAAAACCAAGTGGAATTTGCTCAACTGTAGTAATCTGAGCAGAAAAGGTGAATGGCCTTACTCAATGTGTAGCTGTGAGTGGAGTCCAGAGCAGCTTATTGGGAGCCTCTAGGTTACCTTGGGATGGTGCTGGCTCATGGCCTGAGCTGAGATCCCGAAAGGGGCACCATGTCTTGAGAGACAAAGACGTTGGTAGTGCCTGGGGGAAGGACTAGAGATGAGAAAGCAGTGTCAGCCTGTAATTTCCAGAGATGGTGAGCATGACTACTGTAGGCAGGACCTCGTGGGAGGAGCTGAGTTGGGGAGGAAGAACCAACTTTCTGCATTGGAGCAGGTGCCTAGGGCCTATTCAGTAAAGCATCTCTGTGGGGGCCTGTTCATAGGGTTTGGGTCCTTCTTGATGTTTCTGGGCCTGGGCCTTATAGGATGCCCAGGCTGAGGAGGAGATCAAGCAGGAGATGAACACACTGCAGCAGAAGCTGAATGAGCAGCAAAGTATACTCCAGCGAATTGCTGCCCCCAACATGAAGGCCATGGAAAAGCTGGAAAGTGTCCGAGACAAGTTCCAGGAGACCTCAGATGGTAAAATTCCCCCTTCTGGCTTGAGATGAGGGCAGGAGGCTGTCCTTATATATTACAACAACTCCCATTTTTACATGCTTTGTTATTTAAAACTCCAAGAGCCTTGAACAGTAGAGGTCATTATACCTATTTTATAGAGTGGGAAACTGTGTTTCAGAGAGAGAAAATGAAGTGTGTGTTCAAGGTGGCACATCTGATTGTTAGTAGAGTTTAGGGAAGAATCCATGTTTATGTGGCACTAAGCACGTTTCTTCTACACTATGGGGTACAGAGCCTGTACTACCTTCTTCTACACTGTGGATACAGAGCCTGTGGTACCTTCTTCCTGGGATCCTTTCCAGGCATTTCTGTCCCTCTGTGAGATGTATCTACTCTGTAGATTGTCATTTGCAGTTCATTCTTGCCAGGATATGGTCCCCCAGCCCTGGCACAGCCAGGGCACTGAGAGATCACCTGTCTTTCCCTTGTGGCAGAATTTGAGGCAGCCCGAAAACGAGCCAAGAAGGCAAAGCAGGCATTTGAACAGATCAAGAAGGAGCGCTTTGACCGCTTTAATGCTTGTTTTGAATCTGTGGCCACCAACATTGATGAGATCTATAAAGCCCTGTCCCGCAACAGCAGTGCCCAGGTAGGCTGGAGCCCCTTAGTCAACCAACTCATATTATGCTCAATTGCCCTTTCTTCTAGACTTCTGTCTTCATGCCTGTCCAGACATAAATCCAGATCCTCAACCATCTGCTTCCCCCATAGGCATTTCTGGGCCCTGAGAACCCCGAGGAGCCCTACTTGGATGGCATCAACTATAACTGCGTAGCTCCTGGCAAACGCTTCCGGCCTATGGACAACTTGTCAGGGGGGGAGAAAACAGTGGCAGCTCTGGCCCTGCTCTTTGCCATCCACAGGTGAGGCTGCCCCCAGAACAGTTGGCGGAGAGACTGAACTGAGACCACCAGAGGTTCTGGGGCACAAAGATAGAAATCTTCAGAGGTGAAGATATTCTGGTGGAATCAGGATTGCATCCCTGTTTCCTTACCTAGTATAGTGTATCTGGCTTGGTTTTCCTGGACCTGTCTAACCCATGCGCCCTTATCCACTTAGCATGTCCTTACTGGCCCCTGCATATATTCAGTCCCACCTCCAGGCTTTTGCTAACATGGTTGCTGTCTATTAAGGCCTTTGCATACAAAGTTGGTTTGACTTTCACTTTCCACTCCTTCCTAACTCCTTATTCTCCTCCTCTCCTTTCTCTAGGAAGAGCTCTTTGACCACAGTGGCATTCCCTGACCTCCCCTTCCTGAATGCCCATAGTACTTGAGTCTGACCCACACAAGTTAGTGCTTGATTAATTATGCAACATCATTCAGCAAACATTTCTTTTTCTTTTCTACCTAAAGTGCTTTATTATTTTTAATTTTATTTTGTTGTTATTGAGAATATATACAGCAAAGCATATACCAATTGAACTGTTCTACATGTACATGTATAATTCATTGACACTGAATACATTCTTTGAGTTATGCAACCATTCTCACCCTCCTTTTCTGAGTTATTCCTCCTCCATTAACATAAACTTAACTGCCCACTAAGGTTCTTATCTAATCTTTCAAGTTTCTGTTATCAATTTGATCCCATGTAGATAGTTCTTAAAAGAGCATACTGATAGAGGGAAAGCTGGACAGGTAGGAGTGCATAGTTAAGAAGGGCGCAGGGAAGGGGTAGTCACAGGGATGGGAGGGGAGGAAAGTTTATTAAGGTTGGGGATGGTAATTGAGGCATGAAATCAAATGTACATGAACTATTGAATGTAAAACAAATTTTGCTGTGTAAATTTGTAGTAAAAAATACGATAAATTTTTTTTTTTAAAAGCATACTGCAAAAAAAAAGCACTGCTCAAGCAGCAAGCATTTCTTGAGGGTTGTTCTGTACTAGACCTTGTGGAAGGATTGGGGACAGATGAGTTGGATGTGGTTTCTGTCCTGGAGGAGCTCACACTCTAGTGGGAGCCAGGCATGTAAACAATGTGCTAAGTATTGTTACTAAAGTGGGCAGTGGTGCTGTGGATCCACAGAGAATGCTTTCAAGAGCGAGAGACATAAAGGTTGAATACAAGTTTGCCAGGGAGAACAGCAGGCATTCTAGATAGAGGGTACAGCATGTGTTGAGGCAGGGAAATATGACAGCATGGAGGAGGGGAGGAGAACAGGGCAAATCTCTAGACAAGTTGGTCAGTCTGTCCAGAACCTAGGAGAGCTTTCTCCCCTCTAGCCACCCTGGAAGTTCCCTGAGAAGACCATGTCTTCTGGTTCTTCTACAAGATACTAAAGCATAGGGCTGGGTTCAGAGGAGGGCTTGGTTGACTCATTGGCCTTATGGATTCAGGCAACATTAACCCACTGCCATCGAGTTGGATCCGACTCATAGCGACCCCTCTTTGGATTTCCGAGGCGGTATCACTACAGAAGTAGATTGCCCAGTCTTCCTTCCGAGGAGTGGTTGGTGGGTTTGACCCACCAGCTTTCTGGTTAGCAGTCAGATGCCTTAGGCAGTATGCCATTTTTTAGTCTCTGAAGAAGTGTAGGGGAAAAGCTGGCCTGTTTGATGGTACCTGGAGCTGTTCTACCCCTCCTTGCTCCTGCTTCCATGTCAGCTCACCTACTGTTTCCCTCCCAGCTACAAGCCAGCCCCTTTCTTTGTTCTGGATGAGATTGATGCTGCCCTGGATAACACCAACATTGGCAAGGTGGGTGCAAGGAAAATGAGGGCCTAGGAGGGAGGCCCCAGGTTGGGGCTGGGTTTCAGGGAGCAGTTTCCGAGTGTGCCCTAGCCATTCCTGCTGCCTGCCCTCTGCCTGGGAGGCTGGGCCCATGGTCATCCATGTTGTGGCCTCCTTCTCTCATCTTCTTTACCTTACCCTCCACCCCATCCCACCTCCTGTGCCTCCTGATTCTGACTAGAAGGCAGGGGAACATTAGGGTTTGACCCCTGCTAAATACCCAGTGGCTTCTCCCACAGGTGGCAAATTACATCAAGGAGCAGTCGACTTGCAACTTTCAGGCCATTGTCATCTCTCTCAAGGAGGAGTTCTACACCAAGGCTGAGAGCCTCATTGGAGTCTATCCTGAGGTAGGGTAGGCCTGGCTAAGGAGCCAGCCCCACTCTGGCTGACTCCCCAAGGCAGGAAGGGAAAGCTGCAGTGGAAGGGTTAAGGGGGTGGAGAACATAGGGAATCAGATCCTGAACCACCATCTGGGCTTGTTGGAGCCCACTGCATTTGGGGACAGGTGGAAAGGTCAGGCCGAGGCAGCCAGACAGTAAAGAAAAGGAGGTGAGTGTGGAGATAGGCAGGGAGAGAGAAAGTATATGGGACCAAGCATGTCCTCTCACATCCAGAGAGACCCATAGCCTGGGCTTTGGACAGGTATATAGGGAGAAGGGTTTGAGGTCCCCAGTCTTGAGGTGCTAGATTCCTCTTAATTCTCTCCTTACATTTTTCTTTTTCTCCCTTTTCCTTCAGCAAGGGGACTGTGTGATCAGCAAAGTCCTGACCTTCGACCTCACCAAGTACCCAGATGCCAACCCCAACCCCAATGAGCAGTAGTAGCAGGAGGTCTGCCCTCCTGCCTTATCTGGATCCCTGAGCTGCCCCTCTCCCAATTTCCGGCTATTTGGCTCCCTACCTTCCCTTACCTACTGGCCCTCTTTAGTATAGTCTTGGGAATGTAGGCTCTGCTATCAGGCATGAAGAGGAACAGAGGTGAAACTAGGTCTGGACCAAAAGTTCCTGAACTACAGGGAATATCCTGGCCTCTGGAAGGAGGTGCTGAGTTGAGCTGAACTGAGCTGAACAGGGCCATCTGTCTGCTCCCTCCTTCCCATCCTTTTCTTGCCATCACCCATGATCATGGGCCCCTTGCCCACTGTGTGTGTGAGTATATATGTGTGTGGGTATATGTTTGTATGCAGGTGTGTATGTGGGTGTGTTTGCAAAATAATAAAGATATTAGAGATCTGTTTTATAAGGAGCTTAGGCTGAATTTGGTTCCAAGAGAACTTAGGATGACAGCATCTCAGCTATGCAAAGGTACTCAGAACCTCATAGGATTCTTAGGCAGTCACCTGAAACTGCCCTCATTCATTCATGCATTCTTGTATCACTCATTCCTCAAGCACGTACTGAATATCCACTGTTTGTCAGGCTCTATGCTAGGAAAATAGAGCTGAACCAGATGTTATCTCTACCCTTCTAGGAGATGAAATGGGTTTATGAATTAATGTAGTTGAATGTTATATGTAAGGGTACTTTGTATTTTAAAAAGATCACCTTCAGACTTTTTGGAGAAGGTCACATTTGAGTGGGACCTTGACAGCTTTTATCAGGCACTAGGAGTAGAGCATAGAACAGACAGTATGAGTTCTAGTCCCATTTTTTTTTTTTAAATCACTAGTTTGACCTTGGGCAAGTCATTTGACCTTTTTTGTGCCTCAGTAAGTTGAGTCTAACAATTTACCTACCTCATAGGATTTAATGATGTCAGGCTCTTCATTGTAGGCCTTTTCTCTGCCTGGAGCCCACTAGGTGCTGACTCCTCCAAATACAAACCTTTTCATGCCTGGATCCTGAGGTCTGATGATCCTGGCTGTTAGGGAAAGAAGGAGCTTCCAAATCTGGGAATTGCTGAATGCCCTTGTTGCTGAGAAAAGTCCCACAGCATTAATGGGCACTTACCTGGTAAGTGAAATGCCTAGGAAACCTGTAGCTTCAACCATGTATGGTAACAAAGTGCCTGAGCCCCAGTGTGGGTTGTGAGGAAGAAGGGGAGAAATACCCTGTGGCACATCCCAGTTTTAACATGTTAGGAGGTTCCTTTTGAGAACTAATCTTGATAGTTCTAGTTTGCAGAAGCAGCAAAACCCGATGCAATGAGTTCAGCCTTCATTTATTCACATACACTGTCAGACTTTTGGCTTATTCTAGTCTGTGTATTACTTTGTGCATTTTAAAAGTTAAATCAATTCTAATTGTAATGGATTAATTCATCTAAGTAAATTCTAATGCATGAATCCGTTCTCCTTTTAAGAAATTAGATCATTACAGATAAAGCTAGCCTCCTTTGACTGCCATTCCCAATCCTGATCTCTTCCCCTTCCTAATGCTTAACTGCTGTTATGTTTGTTGTACATCCATCTAGACTTTGTTTTAATACTTTTACATATGTGAATTCATTGAAGACATTGTATGTGTGCTTGATGAAGTGATGTATTGAATTGTTCTGAAACTTACTTTCTTGACTTAATGTTTTTGAGAGCTGTATATGTTGCTGCATGTAGATGTACATCCTTCTTTGTAATTGCTGCATAGATTGCCATCATATGACTATACCACATTTCACTTAAACTCTTAGGTTTCTTTTGTGATGGACTTTAACACTATTTTCAGTTTAATGGATACTTCCAAATTGCCCTCCTGTACTGTATACTTAATATTTTTCCTGAGGCCATCTTTGATCTAGCATTGTTATCTACTTTTGTTTCATCTTAAGCAGTGATATCCATGAATTGGGTTTAATGTGCTAATTATATATTTTTCTAATAGATCTTAAAATACATAGATATTAAACTTTATCTTTGTTCAACCAGAAAAGTCATATACTACCATTGTTACATGTACCATACTTTGGGAAGAGCTAGCATGTATAGAAGAACACAACCTGGACATCAGACCTGGTTCAAAATCTAGCTTTAGAAACTTGGGCAAGACTTCACCTCTCTGGGGCATAGTTTCCTCATCTCTGAAAGTAAATAATAAGCACCTACCTTACAGCAATACAGAGAGAATTAAATGAAATTTGTTTGAAGCAATTTAGTTAGTGCTTGGATCATCACATGCCTTTAGAGATAGCAATTGCTTTTCTCCCTCACTTTACAGATGTGGAAACTGAGGGCCAGAAGGGTGTTAAGTGAGTCAGAAAGAGTGATCTAGCTAGCAGATAATGGCTTGTATTTGAACCCAGGTCCCCTGATTTACTCCAGTGATTTCTTCACTATATAGGTGTTTATCAACTTTGGCTGTGCAAAGTTGTGAAAGTTTTTCTTTTCCAAAGTTTTTACACAGGGCTAAAAACTAAAATAGAACAGAAGGGCTTATAATGAAAAGCAGCAGTCCCCTGCCACACCCCCACATCCAGTGGATGTGAGGCTTGTTAAAAATAAATTTCTCTGGACCCACCCTTGGAATTCTGATTCAGCAGTGTGGATAGTAATCTGGATAACTGATCCCTCCCTACCTCACAGGGTGAGAAGGATTACAAACAATGCCTTAAGCTAAAGTCCTAGCACATAGGAACTCTGCTACAAAGGAGCTTAGAGAATTTAGGTCTTGAGAATGAGGGAGGTGAGATGATTTTTGGTTCAAGACTCTTTAGTGCTTGCCCAGCATTCTTCCCCAGTGTTTCATACTGCCTCCTGCCATCTCCAGGCAATGTCTAGGGTTTGTTGCAGGCCACTAGATTGACTCCCTTGTACCCAGAAACCTTGGGCTAGGGAGTTGTACTCCACAAGAGTGTCCACCTTTAATTGGGCACTTAACTCTTGCAGTCACAGTGAAGTTAGGAAGTTAACTCTTTTATCCTGCCCTTGAGGAGCTCACAGTCTAGTTGGGGAGGCAATTCATAAACAGCAGTGAAGGCACACAGTGATCAATGCTATGACCGAGCACAGAAAAATGAGGGGCATCTAACAGGGATTCAGGAAAGGCATTTTCTAGTCTAAGGGATGGTGCTTGAACTCGATCTTGAGGAACTGGTAGGAGTTGGCCAAGTGAAGAAGAAACAAGGAATTTCCACCTAGTGGAAACAGTATTCACAAAGTCTTGAAGGTAAGAAACAGCAAAGCAGTTTAGAAATACTGAAGCGTAAAGTTTGTTGGGGTAAGGAGACAGCACTGAGAAGTGAAGCTGGTAGCCAAGAGCTAGAGTTTTAGAGTGTGTTGAGTCCTTGACTAAGGAGTTCAGATTTATCTTGTGGGACAGTGTGGTTCCCAAACCAGCTGGATACCAGAAACACATGGGGCAATCTGGGCCTCAACTTACAAAAATTTGGTTTCAGGAAGTTGGGTGGTCTTTTAGGGTGTTTTTTGAATATTTTGTTGTGGTTTGGGTAAATGTTTACAGAGCAGATTAGTTGCACAGTACACACTTAGTTTAACAATACACATTTTGTTTCAAGACATTACTTGCAGTCCCCTCAATGTAACAGCACTCTTCCTTTTTGGGTCACTTGTTTTCATTAGTCCTTTCCTGCCTTCTGAACTTTGTTTTTGGGCAAATCCTGCCCCTTTGGTCTTCTGTGGTTGATTGTTTGTGGAATATGTACCTCATGAGTGTTATTGTACACTTCAAAGGTTAAAAGGTGAATTCAGGTGATCTTGAGTGCTTCTAAAGTTCACTACATGCCTAAGATGCAGCTAGGTTTGGGAACTGAAGCTTGAATGTAATGAGGGAGCCATGGGATGGTTTCAAGCAGGGAAACATCCAGATCAGATGTGAATTTAACATACTTCTTTCTGGCCAGCCAGTGTGGTAGTGGATCAGGTTAGATGCACATGGTATATATGACCATATCCTTGTTATTCAGCTTCTCATACTGTATTATCTATTTGCTTGTTTTGTCTCTGAATAGGCTTTGTCTTTGAATAGGCTGTAAGCACCACAAGGATGGGCTTGCTTACTGTTACATTCCCAGCAATAAGCACAGTACCTGACATATAACAGGCACCCAATAAATAGTTTTTGAATGTATGGATGCATTTGCAAAGGAAGGAATGGAAACAGGGAGATAAGTTGGGAAGCTATTGCAAAAGACCAGGAGGTCTGTTCTAGGGTAAGGACAGTAGGAATGGATTGGAGGTAAAGGTGCAAGCTGTTAAGAGATGATCAATTGGAGTTGGTGACTGATTATTGGATGTGGAGGGTGACTGAGAGGGTAGAATGAGTATCCATTAGTATCCAAGATTCCTGCCCTATCCGAGTCATTCTCCTTCATACCTGAATTAGAATCTCCTTCCAGTCTCCTTAGCAACTGGAATGTCTCCCTCAAGTTAGTTAAACATTCTTTGTGTCCTCCATCCCTCCCCCAAATCATTGATTCATTTACCCAGTTCAGTAAATCTTGGCTAAGTACCTCCTATGTGTAGTGAGGCTCTTCTAAGCCAGCACTCCATCTCCTTTCCTACCTGTAAGAGTTTAGAGACTTTGTTCAGTCCCTTCCTGATGCCCTCTGAGGGTCAGGAACTTGGCCCAAGGACCCACTGTTAGGACATGGTGGAGCCAGAGCTTGAACCTAAGTTCCCTTTCCACATCTCCTCTAGAGCCTTTATCTAGCCCATCACAGACCAGGACAGGCAGGTGGTTGGGGGAAGGTGGGACTTAGGTTGAGCCTTGAAGGTCAGTGTACTGAACAGGCCAAACAAGATGCTTGCCAATTACATTTCCCCCTTCTGGAAACACTCATCAAACCTGCCATTTCCACAGTATCTTTTTAAGGGTTTCTTAGACATAAATTACCATGCTCTGTACCATATGGCCCCACAATCCTGGCTATA